CGGCCGGGCTTGGCGGCGCCGCTGTGGGCCGGCCTGGGAGGCTCCTGGGTGAGCCCGGCCCCGAGGGCGCTCGGTTTCCCGGTTTCCCCACAGCCTGGAGCCCAGAATGCAAACCCGCACCCCCAGGAGCTCACAGCCCAGGCCCGGCGGGTGAGCCCTGCGAGACTCCCCCAGGGGCTCCCACAGAAGCCCATCGGCGAGCCTTCCCGAGTGACCCCACACGACGACGACGGGCAGAGGAGACCCCTTTTCCGGGAAGATGGAAGGGGGCCCCGGAGGAAGAACGGTGCATGATGTCGGAGGAGACACTGCGTGTCCTGGGTGGGCCTTGGGGGGGGCGCAGCACAGAGGCCAGAGGGGCGCAGGCCCAAGGACCAGCGCGGCCCCTGCTCCGTGTGCCCTGACTCTGCACTTTTCTTTTAAAGATTGATTTATTTGTTTATGCACACAAGAGCTGGGGTGCAGGCCAGAGGTGTGGAGGTGAGAGGGTTCTCCAGAGACAGACTGGGGGGCACAACAGGTGGGTCCACTGAAACCCACGGCTGAGGGGAGCAGCGGGGGACAGAAGGGGTCTGCTGACCCTGCGGTCACTCCCTGGCTGGGGATAGAACCGGAGCTGCAGGGGCTGGGGGAGCCTGGGGTGCCGCGCTTTAACCCCTGCGCCCCCAGGGAGGGAGGCCCTCTTTGCCCTGTTCTTTTAAGATTTGTTTATGCACACAGAACTGGGGTACAGGCCAGAAGTGTGGGGGTGAGAGGATTCACCAGAGACAGAGCGGGTTGATGAAGCACACTGCTGAGGGGAGGAGCAGTCGGTCTCAGGAGAGGTCTGCCGCGCCCTGAGCCACCTCGGGCTGGGGGGCGGACGCAGCGCCTCGCTGTAGCCCGCTGCAGCCCGCTGCGCCCCCAGGGAGGCCTGCTTGCTGCAGTTGAAGCCTGCGAGCTTGCTGTCCGCTGCCCTGCTGACGGCGCCTTGGGGCTCAGCACTGGCCTGCGCAGCCCCCCGCCTCCAGGCGGGCCCTTCCCAGGCGCATCCAGGGCCGCGTGCTGCCTGGCGGGCCCTCCCCGTCCTCAGGGCCGCACCGTGAGCCCCATCATGGCGGCAGCGCGACCGGCTCACAGCCCTTCCTAAAAGACCCGGCTCCCCGGCGCACCTGCGCCCACTGCCCGCCCGCACCCTGCTTCCTGCGCGGCTCCATGAGGCCTGTTGTGCTGCGCAGGAGGCCGTCCCGCCCCTCACTGCCTTCCGCACCCGCCAGGCTGGTGCTGTGCCAGGCGTCCTGGGCACGGCCAGGGCCTGTGCTGGCGTTACCCGGTCTCGCCCCAGTTCCCCGCTGTGGCCGCTGTGGGACCCGCGGCGGACAGAGTGCCCTCCGCTCCCAGTGCCCGCTGGCGGCTCACCACAGGGGCCTGGGACAGTGGCCTGAGGCCCAGGACCTCAGGGCCGCTGGCTGGACTCTGCACCCCCATTCCTGCACTGGAGCAGGGGCCTGGGACCCTCTGAAGTCCCGACACACATGGCCATGGGCACCTGACTCCTGCACATGTCGGGAAGAGGAGCCCAGTGTGTGCCCGAGGGCAGAGGCGGGCGGGGAGGGCAGCCTCTCACCACAGGGCCCACGCTGAACTCTGGGGGCTGGGGTCAGGGTGACCCCAGGGTCCCTGCCAAAAGCGTGGGGTGACGCTCTGACAGCGCCGGGGGCGGCCGCTCCTGTGGCCTGGAGCTGCGCTGCCAGTCGGGTCACGGGCTCTGCCATGGCACCTGCGCCAGGCGCCGGGCACTCAACAGCTCCGCCGAGGGCTCTGCGCCCCCAAGCCCACCGGTGGGTGGGGCAGGCGGAGGCCACTCCCAGGGCCGTGGCCAGCTGGGGGTCTGGTGTGGTCCTGGGCGCCAAGGGTGGGGTGTCCGGTCCAAACTAGAGGCTCCAGAAGGTCAAAGATTCTTCAGGGTGAAACCTGGCCGGTGGCTCTGGCGAGGCCCAGGTGCCCCCAGGGGCTAGTGGCAGGGCGTGGCCGAGGAAGGACAAGTTTGGTCCTGCTGGAGCCGCAGCCTGACCGCTGGCCCACGGACAGGGAGGGGAAGTGCCGCCGTGCTGGGGCGCGGGGCTCGGTCTGGGGCCTGAGCAGTGCGGCCTTGGAAGCCCAGCTCTGTGTCCGCCCACGCTGCGGGCAGGGGCCCACTGGCTGCCCGGGGCCTGTCTGGGCGCCAGGGGCGTCCACCCAGAAGCAGCTGCTAGCGAGCCGCCCGGGAAGGCCCCAGCCCAGCAAGAGAAGAATGCTGTGGTTTGGCCACAAACCCTGAGGTGCTGGAAGCTCCAAGTTTACTGCCGCCCAAGAGGGGACAGACCCGGGCCAGCGGCACCTGGGCGGGGTGAAGGCGGGGCCGAGGGCACCCCACAGCAGGAGGGCTGCGGCCTGCGCCCCCTGCTTTCTCCTGTAAGAGGCCACGTGGGCCTGTGGACAGGAAACAGCCAAGGAAGAGCAACCGGCAGGCTGCCTCTGCGTCTGGGCGCCTCTCCCACAAGGGGGGGCTGTGTGTGGGGAGGGCAGGAGGGAAGGCCGGGCAGAGGGAACAGCGGACCAGTCACCCGCCCTCCCGCGGGGGCCCCGCCCAGCACACTGCTCTCCGGGTGTGCCCAAGGGCCTCGTCCCCGGCGGTCAGCTGGGCAGGTCGCCCCGAGCTTCCTCAGCTGCCCCGAGACCAGCACAACTGGCCGGCCCGGCCCGTGGGGCACGCGCTCCCCACAGATGCCCGTAAGGAAGGCGGCAGCGTGAACAGGAGTCACGCAGACTGTCCTCCCCGAAAGGAGATGACACTTCATCTCCCGGCACGTGAGACGCAGCTGTGCCGCGGTGCCCGGTCGGCCCGGACAGAGCCACAGGCACGGGCAGGCCCCGGCGTCACGGAGCCGCACGACCCCCGGCACCCGCCACCCCGCTTCCTCCCGGGGCGAAAGAGCGCGTCAGCCAAACCGCTCTCCTAGAAAAGCTGCCCAGGCACGGTGACCGCAGGCCCTCGGAGCCAGGCCAGAGCGAGCCGAGGAAAGCCCCCCAGAAAGCTGGGGAGCGCTCACCTTGCAGCGCACCAGATACGCGGCGGTGTCTCAGCGGCTACCGAGCGGCGCGGGGCTCAGAACGCGCCGCCACGGGCTGCCGGGCGCTGCGCGGTAAGAAAGCACGTCGCAGCCGGTTTTGCACGAGGACTATCCGTTTAATGCAGGCCCAGGCGGACCTGGCAGGCCAGGCTTCACGGCGGTACAGGGCCGGCGCGAAGGCCATACAGCACAGTACAATGAGGCGCCCCGCCGGCCACCCCGGGAGCGGGGCCTGGGCCGACAGACGCGCAGCGAGAAGGAAGCGGGACGGGGTGAGCGTCGGCCCCAAGCTGCTTCAAGCTGAAGTGACACATTTGGGAAAGTCAAGGTGACCGTGGGGAGCCGGGTACCCCACACCAGGGCGGCTCAGGCGCTGGGGGGTCACTGGGGGCCGCAGGCTGGTGGGCAAAGCCCATGGGCGCCTTCTGAGAAGACACTGCCGCCTGACTTCACCCTCAAGATGAAGCAGCGGCCCCAGGTACGAGCTGCCTCGGTCTCCCGGAGTGTCCTACAGCCGCGACACCCCAGGGCCGCCCCAAAGTGCTTTGGCCACAATGGGCTTCCGGCTCCCCTCTGGGTACAGAGGGCCTGGAGGTGCCAGGAGCTGGCTGGGCACAGGGAGGCGGCGCAGGCCTCCCACGAGTGGGAGGACCCTGTCCCAATTCTAGAAATTTCTGGTGGGGAAAGCATTAATGATTGGGTAATTGGGGCAGAGCAGGAATTGACTTAGGGCCTTACATCTGTCCCCTGTGGGGGGTGGGGGGGCTATCAAGTCTGAGCTGTTTGAAGCTGCGGCCTGGTCAAGCCTCCGAAGTGCGTGTCCGGAGAGGGGAGCCGACCCCCAGTGCCTGAGGGCGGGCGCAGGAGCGGCCTGGTCCCGCTGGCCTGTGCCCCAGAGCTGCAGGATGTCGACACTCCTGCTTGTGAACACGTGGCCGGCCTGAGCGGCCACAGGCAGGCCCACACCTCCGGGCGCCCGCCGGGTGAGGGGTGGCTCCTGCAGGCACCCAGCCCGGTGGGCTCAGTCCATGCTCGGTCGGGTGGGGGACAGCGACCTCCCGCCGCCCCGCCCCGCCGCCGAGGGCCGCCGCAGGGGAGCTCAGCCACACGTCTCGCGGCGGCGACAGCCCCGGCCTGCCGCGCCGGGACCTTATTCGGGGCTGGGCCTGAGCCGACGCGGTGGCCGTCCCATGTGGGGACACCTTTTGTTTTCTCTTTGGTCCATTCACTTCCTTTAAACGCCTCCCGCGACGACAGGAGGCCGCACGCTCGGTCCCGCCGCCGGGGCCAGGACGGCTTCCCGGCGCCAGCGGCTGGAGCGTCAAGGCTGCTGCTGCTACTTTTCATAATTTCCTCGGGTCACGGGTGAGAGTAAAACGCCCCCCTCGGTGCAGAGTAAAGGGGGAAACACACGTCCCCCCTCAAGCAAAAGCTGCGTGCAGAAGCAAAAGGGAAAATATGAAGACACAAACCTCGAGCGAGAGAACCCGCGCCCGGGCAGCCTTGGGCCGGTGCCCAGCAGGCGCGGCCCGGCGGGACGGCCAGTGTCCCCTCCCGTGGCTGCGGGGTACCACGTCAGCTCCTCGTGGCAGGCTCCGCGGTATCTGCACTCAGTGCTTGCACAACCCATTAAGAATCAGAAGAGCTGCCCCGACTCCTTTTTCTGAGTAAAAACCCCGAACACCAAACACCACACCACAACATACAGATAATGACCCAAATGGAAAAGTTAAATGTGTTGTAATGATATTTGTTTTGCAACATCAAAAGCAGCGCAGATACTCAATATAATTTGCTTGCATCCTAAATACTGGCGTGGGGCACGCCGGACCCCGCGGGCGCGGGCCTCAGTACTCCCACTCGTCGGACTTCATGTCGAGGTAGCTGAGGATGTTCTGGGCGAGCTTCACCGCCTGCTTGCGCGCGGCCTTGCACTGCTCCTCGCCCTGCGGGTCCACGGCGTCCAGGGCCAGCAGCTGCTTGGTGAGCAGCTCCTCCAGCCGGATGTAGTTCTTGTCGGTCCGGCTGCCGTCGAAGGACAGCACCTCCCCCTGGATCTCGGACAGGCTCCCCAGGACGGTCCAGACGGCCCTGTGGGGCGGCTGCTCCTCGGGCGCCAGCTGCCTCCGCTTCTCCAGCGCCTCCTTCAGGTCCACGTAGGTGATGAGCGTCTGCACCTCCACCACGGCGCGCCGCCGGGCCTCCCGGATGCAGGGGTTCTTCTCGGGGCTCACCTCGTCCAGCTGGCCGATCAGGCCCTGCAGCTCCGTCTTGGCGCTCAGGTACAGCTCTGCGGGCTTCGGGGCTTGGAGCAGCTCGTTTTTGACCTCCCTCATCCTCTTGAGGACCTTTTCTATTTTCAGGATGGAATGGTTCTGCCCCAGGTCGAAGGCGTAAGTGGTGTCCGCTTCCTCCTCCAAGTCCAGGTACTTCAGCAGCTTGTTGATGTCTTCCACCACCTCCCTGCGGTAGTTCCGGATCTCCGTCCGCCCGCACACGTCCAGGGCGTCCAGGTCGGCGATCAGCCCCGACAGCACGCAGGACAGGTGCCGGCAGGTCTCGTTGCTGCTCACCCCCATCAGGAGGGCGATCAGGGTGCCCCTGGCCTTGTTCACCTCGCGCATCACCGAGTTGATCTTGGCCACCGAGGGGTGCGCGTCCTCGGACAGCGGCAGCGAGGGCTGCTGCCGGGCGCAGTCCTCGATGATCTGCTGCACGGCGCAGATGCGCGTGAGGGTGCGGTAGCGGGCCTTCCGCAGGGAGACCTTGCCGCCCGTCCGCACGTGCGTCAGCCGCAGGATGATGTCCTGGATGCCCTCCTCGAACTCCTCGGGCACGCCGCCGCCCCCGCTGTACGAGGGCACGATCTTCTCCTCCACCAGGACCTGCGCCTCCTGGAAGAGCGCCTGCATCTCGAGCCGGTGCGGGTGGCTCGCGTTCTGCTCCAGCTCCTTGAGGAGACGCTCGGTCTCCTGGGCTGCCCGCTTCCGCGCCTGCTGGATATCGCCTTTGCCCTCAGTGTCCACGGAGTCGATCTCGAAAAGCTGCTTGGTGAGAATCCTCTCCAGCCTCTTGTAGCTCTTGTCGTCCGAGAGGCCGCTGAAGCTGGTCACCTGCTGCTCTATGCTCTTCACCTCCTTCTGGATCTCCTGCAGCCTCCTGAGGGAAGGGTGCTGGTTTCCCATATCCATGCTCTTGTTGTGTTCCGTTTCACAAGCACTGAAGGTGACAAGAAGCAGCGGTCACACCACACAGTCTCCACGGGCCTCCCTGGGGGCGCAGGGGTCCGTTTCAGGGCTGTGAGGCCGCCCCAGCCTGAGGCCCAAGCGTGACCCCAGCCAGGGAGTGACCCATAGGGTGCAGCAGGCCCCTCCTGTCCGCCGCTGCCCCCTCAGCGGTGGATTTCAGTCCATCTGCCTGTTCTGCTCCCCACTCTGTCTCTGGGGAGGCCTCTCACCTCTGCCCCTCTGGGCTGCACCCCAGAGGGTACGTAAAGAAATAAGCCTTTAAAATAAAACAAAAACCAAACTCTCTCCAGGATCAAAACCGGCCTGCACGCTGACTCTCGCGCGGCCACCCTAAAGAAAGGGCTGTCCTCCTCGCCTCCCCAGGTGCCCCCCTAAGTGCCAGGACAGGGCGGAGGCCTGGGGAGCATGAGCTGGAGCCTTGCCCTGGGACTTGAAGGGTGTACCTGCAGAGCTTACCCTACGTGTGGCTCAGGGGACCCATCAGCGTGTGAGGCCCTCACCCTGGACGCCACAGCACAGCGCCAGGCAGCTCTGCCACTGACAGAGTAGCTAAGCCGAAGGTGCCAAGCCACTGAAACAGCTACTGCGCTCCCAGACTCCCGCGTCTCTGCCTTCCACGGGCTCTGGCACCACCCGCCCTGTTTCTCAGCCCCGTTTCTCAGCCCCCAGTACACTCTGGCCCCCCCACCCATCTCCCCTGCAGTCACACAACCCACAGGAAGGAGAACGCACAGGGCACCTTCTGGGGTACAGAGCGCTCGCCTTCGAGGGCTCCCCTCCCGCCACACACCCTGCAGGAGGGCCTAAGTAACAACACCTCCTCCACCAGCCCTAGGAAAGAGTCCAGAAGGGCTCAGCCTGCTTCTGGGGCGCTCGAGCTTAGCCCCCGGGGCTGGTCAGAGGGGACGGCTAGTAGGGAAACCCATCCTTCGCGTGTGGGATCTCGCCCCCGCCCGGCAGGGCGCCGCCCTTTACCCAGAGCCGTGTGAGCAGGTTGGGTCTTGGCTGCCAGTTGGTGAGGTGGCCAGGTGGAAGATCAGCCCTTTACGGGGTGCGGCACCGGAGCTGCGCCCCAAGCGTCATCTCTCTCACCCCTCCCGGCGAGGTCTGATGGGGGCAGCCGGAGAAGGGGCCAGCGGGGGCGGCGGCAGCTACCGGCCGCTGCGGCCGCTGCGG